CTCACAGCAACCTCAAACTCTTGGGCTCAAGAGATCCTCTTGCCTCAGCTTCTCAAGTAGCTGGGACTATAGGCACCTGCCACAACACCTGGCTAGATTTTTTCTATTTTTAGTAGCAATGGGCTCTTGCTCTTGCTCAGGCTGGCCTTAAAGTCCTGAGCTCAAGCAATCCACCTGCCTCCACCTCTCAGAGTGCTAGGATTACAGGTGCAAGCCACTGGGCCCAGCTACCATGCTTATGCTCCAAACCCCTCTAGATACATACTGACCCAACTCTTTTAGAAAGCAGTATGCCAGCTGCACTGAACCAGGTACGAGGCAAACTCTGGATCCAGGAATCCCATTTCCAGAAATTTCTCATAAGAATAAAACTTCCCCAAAGCTACATGCAAAACTGTATCCTATAGCATTATTAAAACACCACAAAAGACTGGGCATGGTGACTTATGCCTGTAATCCTAACACTGTGAGAGGCTGAGGCCAGAGGATTGCTTGAGCTTAGGAATTTGAGACAAGCCTAAGCAAGAATGAGACCCTATCTCTACTAAAAATACAAAAAATTAGCCCGGCGTGGTGCCAGGCATGGTAGTCCCAAGCTACTTGGGAGACTGAAGCAGGAGAATCACTTGAATCCAAGAATCTGAGGTTGCTATGAGCTGTGGTGCCACAGCACTATAGCCTGGGGTACTGAGTAGTCTCAAAAAAACAAAACAAACACCCAGCACAAAAGAAAGAGACACACATAAAAATTAATCTGAATGTCCAAGACCAAGGAATGGCTGAATACTTGATGGACTATTATGTGGTCATTAAAAATCCTTATTATGGGCTCAGAGCCTATAGCACAGTGGTTATGGTGCCAGCCACATACACTGAGGGTGGCAGGTTTGAATCCAGCCTGGGCCAGCTAAACAACAAAGACAAGTGCAATAAAAAATAGCCCGGTGCAGCTTGGTACCTGTAGCTCAGCGGCTAGGGCACCAGCCACATACACTGGAGCTGGCGGGTTTGATACAACCTGGGCCTGTCAAACTACAATGACAACTACAACCAAACAAAATAGCTGAGCACTGTGGCGGGTGCCTGTAGTCCCAGCTACTTGGGAGGATGAGGCAAGAAAATTGCTTAAGCCCAAGGGTTTAAGGTTGCTGTGAGCTGTGACGCCACAGCAGTCTATCAAGGACAACATAATGAGATTCTGTCTCAAAAAAAAAATCTTAACTATGAAATCTACATAGCAACATGAAAAATGACTTATAATGTTAAATTTTATAAGACTGTGATTATTATTACAACTATGTAAGTCTAAGCATTTGAGCCAAGATTTAAAGAAAAAGAATTATGCAGGATACCGAAATTACTGCTAGGTTGTTTTTTAAAAACTTTTTGGGGGAGTTAATAGATTGCTTTTAAGGTTTTTAAAGGGGATAATTAAAAAAAAAAAAAAAAACAACTTAGAACCACAAGGGGAGCAGAGGCACAGCAGAGGCATATCGCTTACGCCCTGTGGGACTGACAGGTGTGTTTAGATTTTGCCTTTCTTCCACTCCTTGCAAACCACACCTGCCTGCATAAGAGTTCTCACAGAAAAATTAAAACTATACTCCTTCCACTGGGAAGATAACTAATTATCAGTAATAATAATAAAGTGAAATACCAATTACATGGGTTGGCAGAATACCCCACTGGAATGAGATGTAAAATTTTTAAGAATAAATAATTGTCTCCTGGAATAGAAAGCATTGGAGTCCATGAACTAGGGGAAGACGCTAGAGATTGCTGAAAATACCCGGCATCCCAATACCAAGTGAAGGGCTCCACAGGGCAATCAGAACTACAAGAAAAAAATCTGTGTGATATTTGCTATATAAGCTTCTTTTTTAATTTAAGTGTCTAGGGAAAAAAAGGTTGGAGGAGCAGGGCAGAATAGAGTATTCTTTTTCAAGGAGCTAAGAAAAGCATGCAGGAGAGGAAGGGACACAGGTGGTGGTGTGTGCCAGGATTAGCTGGGATCCTGCTATTGTCTAACAAAGCTGCTAGGCTTTGAGCAGAGAGAGATTACATCAAAAGAAAGTAAAGGTCTCCTCACAGAGAAACCTCAGGGATTTGCTAAGAATGGTCAGGAATAAAGAAGATATCTTTTGCTAGAAAATCAGAACTACTAAAATGTGTGGTAGTACAGTATCAGCAGTAGAAAAAACCTTTATAAGGATGTTAAATGCCAAAGTTGAAGCCTTTAAAACCCAAATATCACATCCTGTTTTCTATTAGCCCTGGTAAGAAAAACAAAAATAGCAATTGGTAACAGTGAATAAAGGACTCAAGGCATGCCTACCTATTTATACTTCTTTGAACCTTGCTCTGAAGTGAGTATTGCACTGTTTATAAATAGAAGGTAGAAATTAATCAAAATGTAACATAAAAGCAAAAGAAGAAACTGTAAAGAAAAACACAACCAAAAAAAAATTTCTGTTAATCAAAATTCTGCCAGCACAAAGTTAAAAGGCAAACAAACCAAAAAGAATATTTGTAATATACACTTGCTGTCATTAATATCTCAATTAATATATACAAAGCAATAAGTAAAAGATAAGCAATCTATTAGGAGCTAAGGCATTCAAAGACATCAACTTCATTTGTTTACTGAGCTAGAAACATAGTATGTAGTTTCATTTTTCTAAATGCAACGGCTGTGGGCTGGGCGCCAGCAGGGTGGCTCAGTGGCTCAGGCCTGTAATCTAGCACTCTGGGAGGCTGAGGTGGGTTGACTGCCTGAGCTCACAGGTTCAAGACCAGCCTGAGCCAGAGCAAGATCTCCCATCTCTAAAAATAGCCAGGCATTGTGGTGGGCACCTGTAGTCCCAGCTACTTGGGAGGCTGAGGCAAGAGAATCGCTTAAGCCCAAGAGTTTGAGGTTACTATGAGCTGTGATGCCACAGTACTCTACCCAGGGCTACAAAGTGGGACTCTATCTCCAAAAAAAAAAAAAAATATATATATATATGTAAAATATATATATGCATAATATATATATACACACACATAAATGCAATAGCTGTGCTGAAATTTTTTTATCATTAACACTCGAAGTAACAAATTAGATTTCATTTATTAATAAAAAAAGAAAAAGGAGCTAAGGTGATGAGCAGCAAATTAAAACAAGAAACACAAATGGACAATATATGAAAACTATTACAACTTTATAAGAAATTAGAGAAATACAAGTTAAAATAATGAGAAACCATTTTTGGCATATCATAGTGGCCAAGATTTTCGAAAAGTAATAATCTCAATATTGGCAGAGATAGGGCAAAATAAGCATTCTAAAGGTAATATAAATTAATAAAACTTGTCTAAAGAG